TTCCAGAAGCTTCTGGGGTGAGCCACCAACCTGGTCCACCTTTGGACTCAAATGTGACACATGGCACCACCTTCCCTCTCCATTCCTCCCGTGCCTCAGGTAAGGAGTGGCATTCTCACCTCCTCCTTCGCTGGCATTTCCCCAGACCAAGATCCCTGAGGATAAGATCCCAGGAATGCCTGAGGCCCATGTGGCATCAGGACAAAACCTTGTACTTGCACAGAAAACCAGGGCAGCAGACACTCACGTGCAGCCAGAGCCTCCTGCACAACACTCGTCACTCAAGCACCTTCCCTGCTCCTGTGGGACCTGGATCCAAGAGCCACACATGGATCACAGGCCTGGGAATACTGGAAATAGTCATCAATGGCTCCATCACACCAGAGACACCCATAGAGGACAGGATCCCTGAGGGCAGAGCTGGACAACACGGAATCACAAGCAGCTCAGACAAGGCTGGGTGAGAAGAGGCTACAGAGAAGGCAGGGCACGTGACTGGAATAGAGAAAGACAGGGACAAACCATCAGAGCTGGCTGCAACCACCAGGGACATGAGAGGCTGCAGAGCTGTGTCTCCACTTCGAATCATCAAATCCCAGACTGGTTTGGGTGGGAAGGACCTTAAATCTCACCCAGTGCCACCCCTGCCATGGCAGGGACACCTCCCAGTGTGCCAGGAATGTCCAGCCTGGCCTTGGGCACTGCCAGGGATCCAGGGGCAGCCACAGCTGCTCTGGGCACCCTGTGCCAGGGCCTGCCCACCCTGCCAGGGAACAATTCCTGCCCAAGATCCCATCCAGCCCTGCCCTGGGGCACTGGCAGCCATTCCGTGTGTCCTGTCCCTCCAGGCCTTGTCCCCAGTCCCTCTCCAGCAGAGGAAGCAAAGCAGAACAGACACCTCTGTGAACACTCCAGAGGGCCCCATCTCCCCCTCTCTCATACATCTCCAGATGGACGTTGCCCAGAAGCTGCCCACAAGCCCATCTGCAGACAGTTGTTAAGAACCCGACCTCTGGCATCCAACTGCAAGTTTCCACTCAGAAATAGCAGTGCCTGAATAGCAGTGCCTGGCTGCAGCTTTCTTGGCAGGGGACATCCCACACCTGACAGGAACAGAGCGCTGGGCTTTGGCAGAGGACATTCAACACCCAACCAGAGCAGGGTGCCTGGATTGCTTTTCCCTTGGGATGTGCACACACAAATCCTGCTGCATGGCTCCAAACAAGCTCTGCAGTTTGGATATGGAGAGCTCCAGCCTGCCAGGAGCAGCCACCAGCTGGCCCAGGCTGCCAAGTCACAAGTGCTGGAGCAGACACAGCTGGCATTTGTGCAGCTCAGGGGAAGCCTCAGGCCCTGCCAGGCAGGGCTGGGACACATCAGCTGCAGAGCATGGATTTGGTCCCTCCCTGCCCAGGTGAGCTTAGCCTGGCTCCAGAGGGATATTTCCTACACCTCAAGAATTCCCTGCTGCAGGAGTGTTACAGGCACAGAATTCCAGGATCCCTGAGGCTGGAAGAGCCCTCCCAGCCCATCCAGCCCAAGCTGTGCCTGATCCCCTCCTTGTCCCCAGCCCAGAGCTCTGAGTGCCACATCCAGGTGACACCTCCAGGGATGGGCACTGCAAAGCTCCCTGGGCAGCCCCTGCCAAGGCCTGAGCACCCTTTCCATGGAGAAATTGCTGCTGCTGTCCAAGCTGAGCCTGTCCTGGCCCAGCCTGAGGCCATTTGCCCTTGTCCTGTCCCTGTTCCCCCCCTGGCTGTCCCCTGCTGTCAGGGAGTTGTGCAGAGCCACAAGGTCCCCCCTGAGCCTCCTTTTCTCCAGGCTGAGCCCCTTTCCCAGCTCCCTCAGCCTCTCCTGGGGCTCCAGCCCCTGCCCAGCTCCGTTCCCTTCCCTGGACACCTCCAGCCCCTCCAGGGCTCTCCTGTCACGAGGGGCCCAGAGCTGCCCCCAGCACTGGAGGTGCCCCAGCAGTGCCAGCACAGGGGACAGGCACTGCCCTGGCCCTGCTGCCACCCCACAGCTGGCACAGCCCACGGGCCACTGGCCTCTGGCACACCTGGGCACACCTGGGCTCGTGTCCAGCTGCTGGCACATCATCCCCAGGAAATCCTCTCCAGCACCATTAAAGCCTGACACCCTCTCTGCCAGCGCTGCACCTTGTGCTGCACGGCTCCCTCAGGCTCAGGAGCTCCTCAGGGTCCCTTCAAGAGCAGCCTGAGCACCGTTCCCTCTGTCCCTGCCAGCCTGGGACAGCAGGAGCACACTCCTGCCTCTCCCCTAGCCAACAGGAATGTGCACACTGCAAACTGAAACCATCTGGACTCCTGGCTCCGTGAGTGACCCAGCCAGGGCTGGAGAAGGCCGTGGATCATCCTGCATGAAACTCCTCAGCTCCAGGGACACCAGCTCCTCTTCAAGGACAGGCCCCTTCCCTGGGACACATTGCCTCCTCCACAACACCCCAAATCCACCTGCTCTTCTCCAAATAGATGGTGTGAGGCTTCTGTCAGGCACAGCCAGGCCCTGGCATCGGTTGCCCAGAGAAGCTGTGGCTGCTGCATCCCTAGAAGAGTTCCAGGCCAGACTGGGCTTGGAGCAGCCTGGGACAGTGGCACCCACGGCAGGGGGTGGCACTGGATGTGCTTTAAGCTTCCTTCCAACCCCATCTGTGATTCTGACAAGGTAACCCAGCTTTGGAAGCTGCAAAGGGCAGAGCACAGCAGGCCTCAATGCCTAAATCAAGGCTGGAATATGTGACCCAGTACTGAGATTTGTGCTGGATCAGCCACTTTCCCAAGGCTAAAATAGCCAAGAACAAAGCTCCCCAAGGAACCAAGACACAGAGGAAGCAAGGAAGGCAGCAGGGCAGAGACAGGAGCGGAGCACAGATGGTTCTCTTGGAGTGAACCCACCCATTCCTGTCACAGTCTATTGACTCAGTAACATCACAGGCTCTGGGGCAAAGCTCCTCCTGTCCTCAGGACACAGCTCCATCAGAGCCCTGCTCCCACATTCCAGCCCTGTGCCCTCAAAGCAAGGCCAGGGAGAACCCCACCAGTGCCCAACTGGGACTGGATGCTTTTTGTGCTGTGTGGGACTTTCCTCCACACCCAGGTGCCTTTCAGGGTTCTACTCCCATATTTAACTGCAGCAGCATTTCTGTCAGAGGTGTCTTCAGGGAATTACATGGGAGGAGTTCTGGTCCCTGACACATGATCCAGAAGGGTTGGAGACCCCCCCTTGTGCCTGTACAGGTGCTGAGAGATGGCAGCAACCCCACCAATCCCTCCAGCACGACAGGAAACAGGCAGAACATCCAACAGTCTCCCTCTTGGAGCAAAAGAATTATCTTTGCAGGAGCCAAACCAGTCCCTTTGGGAGGCCTGGCTCACAGTTGAGTGTTTTGATTCACTTTCTCCAGCACCCACGCAAACCCACGGTCATTCACTGCCTTTCTAAATACAAGGAAATTTTCCTGATGAATCCCCACCCAGCCAGCCTTCCCCAGGGAATCTCGTCCACCCTGACACATCATTCCAGGCCACTCTCCCAAGTCCATTTCTCTCCACCTCACCAGGGTGCAAGAGGAGTGTGAGCAAGCCCCACACACAGCTCCAGGAGGAGCTTTGCTCCCTGAAGGCCTCAGACTCGTCCTGATTGTCCCACACTCCTAAGTGACACCTCACGAGCCACCCTGGAGGACAACTGGAATGTGGGCCCATAAGATTGATGCCACAACAAGAGCAAAGCAAAGAAGGTGAAGTGAAGCCTTTTTACTTCACTGCTGGTGTGAGAGAAGAAGCAGAAATGGAAAACACCTTCCTCTCCACATAAACATAGGATCCAGCATTCCCCCGTGTTAAGGATGTCGCCTACTTTGGCCCAAAATCAGTCCCCGGGGATTTAAATGCCACAGCAGAGACATTTGGCACTTCCAGCGCTTCCTTCCAAGGTTCCCAGTGCTTTGAACAAGACACAGTTTGGCCACGGGGCAGGAGCACGGCAGTCCTGAGCTCCATGGGGGCAGTTCCTGGGCCAGCCCTGCTCCTGGGAAACCCACAGCCCCCTCTGTGGTCCCTTCATGGAGGGCACAGCCCCAGAACTCGCTGTGTGCAGGTCAGGTCACCACTGCCTCCCTGGCCCCCAGCCCAGGAGGAGAAGCTGCCAGTCACACCCTGATCATCCCAGCAAGAGGGGTCCCATGGCACACACAGTCCCACCTTAACCACACTGATCCTCACTGCACCCACAGCCCCCCAAATCCCAGCTCTCACTCACTGCAGTTCCTCTGCCATAAAACCCTGGGTCCCTCTGCAACCCCCCCAGCCCACAAACCTCGGGTCTCACTGCAGCCATCCCGCCCAGACCCTGTGTTTCCCTGCAACCACCCCCAAACTGGGTTCTTACTGCAGAGCTCCCCCTACCCTGAAACCCCAACGTGGCACTGGAGTCCCGTTCCCAAACTCCAGGTTCCCTTTGCAGCCCCCTGTCACCAGCCCAGATCTCACTGCAGTCCCCTGCCACCATCCCAGGTCTCACTGAAGCACCAATCCCCAATCCCCAAACCCCCCTGTGTGTCACTGCAAACCCACCAAACCCTGGGGATCACTGCACCTCCCACCCCTTCCAAACCCGGGTTTTGGGTCTCACTGCAGTCCCTCAAAACCCCGCACATCGCTGCAAACCCCAAAACCCCAGACATCACTGCAGACCCCCCCAAAACTCGGACCGCCCTACAGTTCCCCCTCGCTCCCTTTCAATCTGGGGTTTCACTGCGGTCCCCCCCTACACCCCAAACCCCGGGACCCCCTCTACATCCCCCACACTCCACGTCTCCCTACAGCCCCTCCGAAGATCCCACCCCGGCTCCCAGGCCCTGCTGGAGCCTCCCCTCCTCCATGCACCCCAACGTCCCCCAGCCGCCCCTCGCAGGCCCGGCCGCCCCTCAGCGCTCCCCTCACGGGCCAGGCCCCGAGCCCGGCCCCCGCCAGCACCGCTACCTTGTACTTGCTGAAGCCGGCGAGCTGCTCGGGGGTCACGTACTCCATGGTGCCGTTCCTGCTGTTCCCGGTGCCGCTATTCCCGCTGTTCCCGGCGCTGTTCCCGGTGCTGTTCCCGGTGCCGTTCCCGGTGCCGCTCCCGCTGTTCCCGGCGCCGCCGCCGCCGCATCGGCCCACCCGGCGTGGCCGTGACGTCACCGAACCCCGCCCCGCCCCGCCGCCATGGCGCCGCCTGGCGGCCGGGAGGGCCCGAAGCGTGAGGGGAGCAAAAAAAAGGCGGGAAAAAAAGACGCCGAAAAACGCATCTTAACCGTGCCCTGGGTCGGCGTGCAGCGATTCCCCGTGTCCTGGCACTCCAGCTCTGCTAAGAAGTCTCTCTTCGTCTCTCTTGGATCTCCTTTAGGTAGCAGAAAGGGCTTAAAGGTATTGCTGTACCATTTTCATCTCCTTGAGGCCTCCTGGATTCCGTGTGGGACGAGACGCCGAAGTCCATCCAGTTCCACCCCCGGCCATGGGCAGGGACTCCTTCACTGTCCCTGGGTGCTCCAAATCCCATCCAACCTGGCCTAGGACACTGCCAGGGATGGAGCAACAACAGCTTCTCTGAGGAGGGAGGGAGAAAAAGGACAGGAAGAGAGCAAAAGGAGGAAGGGAAACTAAGAACAGAATTGGTCTTCTCAGACCTCCCCAGCTGCTCTTCCATGCTCAGCTCTGTCTCTCTCCTTTGCCAGCATTAGCAGCAGACAGACCCCACTGCACAGCTCTGCTTTGCTTTCCAGTAACACCCAACACCACCAGCTCTCCTTCGGACCCAGGCAGGGTGTCAGACACTGGAAAAGGTCAATCAAACTCCTTGATTTTCTATCTTTTGCCGTCAAGGTTCTCTGTAATTTTGACCTCTTGATAATACCTGCTCAGTATTTCTCCTGTGTACCAGCCTAGAGTAAAGAAACCTCAGTTTAGCCCCTTACATTTAAATGTTCTGGGGTGTTAACACAGGGTCACTGCACCCAATCCCAACTGGTGCAGCCTGGCAGAGCTGCTGCATCCCGGTGTCACTGCAAGGCACCACATCCATGAATTGTTGAGGCTGGAAGAGATCTTTAAGCTGTTTGTGCTCCTCCCCACAGCAGGACCTGCAAGGAAGGAGGTGCCAGACATTGGCACAGAGGGAGACTTTGGCCAAGGACTCCTGGAAGAGACAGGGAAAGGTGCAGAGAACAGCCTGGCTGAACAGGAGAGGGAGCTGGGACACCTAGAACAGGTGAGGGGAGCAGGTGAGGGACACTGCAGACTCCTGATACGTCAGCCCAAACCTGAGGCCACCCCTCCTGGCTGCACTGGATCCTCTACACTACACCCAGTTGTGCCACTGGGTCCCCGGCCACTCACTCCAGTATCTGCACTGGGGCATTCCCCACTCGGTCCAGGAGGTGACACCATGGCCAGGGGCTCCTCCACTGCCAGTCTGGCTGGGGGGGCCGGCCCAAATGCCCTCCCAGCCCAGGTGTTCCCAGTCCCTGGCACTGAGCCCTTGCAGCACACACTCCCATGGCCCAGCTCTGGCTCCTGTCCCTGGCTCTGCTGGGCTTGGCAGAGTTTGGGCCCGTTCCCCTTTAGTCCTGCAGGTTCCCAGCTGAGCAGCTGCAGAGCACAGAACCTGGCTGGGATCAACCTTCTCAGCCCTCCTTGTGTGTGACAGGCCAGGCTTGGTTCCCTGGGCTGCCTCCCTTGGCCCCTGCCCCTGGTTTCCCTGGGTGTTGTGGTTTGGGGTTGGGTGCCCTCTGTGCTGTCCCTGCAGCCAGTGAAGCTGCTCCTGGAGCAGAGCCCCTGAATGGAGCAGAGCCTCTGCTGCCACACCCCCTCCCTCCCCCAGTGCCACCCCCTGTCCCCTGCCCGTCTGCAGCACAGAGCTGGAGTCAGCCCCAGCTGTGGCTCCCCTCAACACAAAGGAGACACAGAGCAGCAGAGTCCAAATCAAGTCCTTTATTAGCAGAGCGTGCAGGGCATGAGGCTGAAGCAGCCCTTCAGGCAGCTCTCCAGGAGGGCTTGGCCCTGGCATTGCCAGCGGGGTTGCCGCAGCTGCCCAGCAAAAGCCCCTGACACCTCGCTGGGGCAGAGCCAGCTGGTGCCACCTTGTGCAGAGCCCGGCTCCGGTGCCACCAGCCTGCCTGGACAGCAGCAGCGCTGCCCCGAGGGCTGCTGAGGAAGGTGCTGGCAGACGGCATTGTCCACATGGGGCATTCCAAAGGCTTTTGCTCAGCAGCGAGGCCAAGGGCAGGAGCAGCTCGTGCCGGGGCTGAGGGCTGGAGGGAAGGGCAGCAGCCCCAGGCACCTGAGCAGGAGGGGCTGCCCTGGGCAGAGACACAGCACCTCTGAGACAGGGAGGGAAAGCACTGCCTGAGCCCTGGGCTGATCGTGTCACTGCTTTCCTGAGGCCACAGGCACAACAGCTGCTGCTGGGAGAACAGCCTCAGTTGGTCCAGGAGGCTGCAGTGATGGAGGCATGGATGACACCCAAAAGCCAAGCAACCCAGCTGGCAGCCAGCCTGGAGCTGGCCTCAGGTCCCACAGCCCTTTCTCCACACAGGACACCTCCTTGCTGCAGGAAAACTGCCTCTGGGGCACTGTCCCTTCTTGTCGGGATTGTTATGGGTTTGTATCTTGAAAAGAGCAGAGCAGTTGTTGGTTGCTGTGAATTTGTTCATTACAGGAGCACAGCAGTCTCAAATACAGGAGTCTAAAGCTATAAAGGCCGTGTTAAAGCTTTCACCATAGAGTCCCAGTTAAAGCAGAAGCAGCTCCCTGGTGCAAAGTCCTGGGCAGAGGCAGGAGCAGCAGTTCTCTGGTACAGAATCCTGGGTAGAGGTGGATGCTGTGCCCTGGTACAGAGTGTCAAGCAGAGGCAGAAGCTGCAGTCTGGTACAGAGTCCTGAGTAGAGGCAAAAGCTCCCTGGTCTTTCTTCTTCGGTTCTTTTCTTGTTCTTCTTCTTTCACGTGATGGTAGTGATGATGATGATGGTGGAGGAAGAGAGAGAGTGAGAGAGCGAGCCACTCCCCACTGCACAGATTTTTATTTACAAATTACCCAGTGACCTTAAAACACCATCTTGAAGCATTTCTTCTAGACTTATTAGAATTCTGGTTCTAGAATATGAAAGTTATGTCTAACCTAGCATGTAGCCTATCCTATCTGAAAAATGGAAGCAATATTCTTACTATGTTTCTCTTATGTCTAAAACTATGTTTTTGAGCTCTCACTGAAACTTGTTTTTGAAGCTTGTTTTTTCCACCCGATTCTAAGGGTTTTGCTCTTTAAGGCACTTAAAATGTATTTTTGCTTGCTTAAAACTAAGATTTCTATTTCTGCTTCATATCTATTCAACTTGATAATATTTCGACTTACTTAAAACTAAAGCTTACACCTCTATTTCATGTCTATGTGGCTTAATATACGTTAATTTCTCTAAAACCTTTAATTCCTACATGCTGTTCTCTCTCTGAGGGACTCAGAGAGGCCTCTGTTTTCACATTCCAGCAGTCCCTTCTTGTCTCACAGCAGCTGAGCCAAGGGTTGCTTTGAGTGCTGCCTTTGCCCTTGGGCTCAGGATTGGCCATGAGGCTGATCCCCCCAAGGAGGGGGTTTGGTTTGGCTCTAGGACAAAGCAGAGGGAAATGTTTATGGCAAGAAGGCAAGAGGATTCTGGCTTTCTCATGAAGGGAGGCAATTGCAGATTGATGGCTTCACTAATGAACATTATTTCACCAAATT